TTACGATTGAAAGTTCTGCGGGGTTGCTCCCGGTCATTATCAGTTAGCTGCCATGATGTCCTGTACAACCCGAGCCTCAGCCAAGGTGAAACCCGATATGAACACATCTTCCATACCATGCTCGATTTCTAGAACAGGCGTAAATACCTCCGGCGGTGGATGAATTGATGAGTTTCCGAAAACAATGGCTACTCCCTTCCCATAGGGGTATTTCACCACTGGATGTAGGGTGGAGGAGACCGCCTTCACCTGATGCAGCCACGGCCGCCCCAAAAGCAGGTTGAACGTTGCAGGGACCTCCAAGACATGGAAATCTATCTCATGCTGTCCCGGCCCAACCTTTGTTTGAATCTTAACTGTTCCCATTACTTCCTGGCTTGTGTTGTCATACGCCCGAATTACCTGGGCCGTTGGCTCGAAATCCGCGATTTTCAAACCGATCGCATAAGCTGTTCTTGCCGGACAAACGTTGATGGCGGACCCTGTGTCGACAAGCACCACGGTTATCCATTTATCTCTGCACTCCACAGAGATGTAGAGTGGCTTGTTATGGTTCGCACCCTCAGGTGGCAGTTCTTTATCAGAAAAAGTCAACATCGGGGTAGTCCCTCCCGAAAAGACTAGGCCCACCAGTTGTTCGGGCGTGGTGTGTATAGAAAGCTTGGCTTTGTCCATGGCTGAAAGGACAGCCTGTCTATGTACTCGAGAAGCCATAAGCAGCCCCCAGATGGAGATGTCTGGTTGTATCTTCTTCAATTGTCTCAATACGGCCTCATCCTCGAGTTGCTTTTCCTTTTGCTTTTCTACCTCCCTATATTTTCCAGACGCCTCTGGTTGATCCAGGTGTGGAGGCTTGAAGTACCGTCCACTCCTGGTCACGTGATCGACTTCGCCGATATACCAGGTATCATCTGGTTGGTTATTCCCCCAATCTTCGTCGGTGTGGGCAAGACATAGATTGTCGTCTTCCCACCACATTCCATCCACAGCCGACAGGCACCTGTCCGGTTTTGGCATGACTGTTCTCATACTCGCAGTACCTTCTATTCCTATGCTCGCGGCATTTTCCCTTTCTGTACTCACAGCAGTCTCAATTCCCACGTGGGCTTTTGCCTTCCTGATCCTCTCAGAATCTTCGAATCTTTCCTGTTCTGACTGTGCCAATGCAGTAGATTGTTCAATAATCCCTATACTCAAAATGCTCCATTCCCGAGCGAAACTATCAACACCGGCGCTCCCCGACGATGTACTCTGTTCTCCAACGTTCCCGGCTGTTACTGACATTCCTGCCCCTACCGGGCCTTGTTCTGACTGAAACTCTCCTACCACATCTGGCTGATCGTCCAACCATCCCGTGGCCTCTGCCGATTCCTCGTAATCGAACTAGTTGACGGCTGAGTCTTCTGGATCTTGGTTACTGTAAAACTGGAACTTGGCAAGATCCTCTTCCACAGCTATCAAATCATCCGTTCCCTGTCCTAGACTGTCTCCTTAGATTGCACACAGCTCTCCTCCTGCTGGAAATTCCACATCTGGTCTATTCTGGCCCATCGGTGAAATGTAGTCACTCGGACTATAAGCATTCTCCACATCACTCCCAGACTTCGCAGACTCTGGCTTGACAACCCCTTTCTCCTTTGGCGTTTTCCCTCTCCCGCTCTCGATGGTCACCACCGCTGGCTTGGGTTGGATTATGGAGACGTCCATCATGCACAAATTGGTGCAATCAGGAAGGAAAACTTCCGGCTTAGGCAGGAAGGAAGGTGTGATATAGATACTAGGATCGTAGGGCACGACCCCAGTATGGATGAAATTGATTCTTTTGGGTGGTGGAGCCTGGTTATGTGTGGGGAGAGGGTTTGTAGTGACATTGGGCTTCTTAGGAGGTAAAATCACCCCGTTATCAATGAGATCTTGAATCTCATGGTGCAATCGAAAGCACAGGTCAGTGTCGTGACCGTGTTGCTGGTGAAATGCACAATACTTGGCTGGATTGTGGGCAGCGGGGAGTCTTTCCGGTAAGGGCCGCGGCTCTGGGGGCTTCAGATGCCCTTTTCTGATCAAAACCCCCAAAGCTTTGGACAGGGACATATAAAGCAGAGCGAAGGTTCTGGTATTTTTGGGAAGGTATTTGGCTGTTTGTGGGTTGCTTCCGGATGCACCGGAGAATGGTGTGGCTGCCATATTTCTTGGGGGAGGGTTGGTGGTGACCATACTCACTTCAGAGGTCCTGGTAGTTGTAGTGCCACTCGGGCCTGCATTAGCGTTACGGTTGAAAGTTCTGCGGGGCTGCTCCCGGTCATTATCAATCAATCCCTGCTTTAAGGCATCCTCAATCTGCACCCCCATTTCATGTAGATCTGAAAAGGTAGGGAAGAGGAGTACAATCATCTTCTGCATTAGCTTCGGCTGAAGATTGCGCACAATCATCCGAATCTAGCCCTTGTCCGTGGGCCTTAAGGTCATCATCGAAGCCTTAGCCCGCCACCTGGCTACAAATTCTGAGAAGTTCTCCTTGGGTTCTTGCCTCGTTGTCTCGAGATCCCGGGTCGTAATCTCGATTTGTGTATTGTACGAGTACTGCAAGATGAAGGCCTCGGCCATCTCGTCCCAACTTCTCTTGATGTCATCGTCCAATTTGGCATACCATATGGCCGCTACACCCGACAGGGTCCGACCAAATAGAGACAGCTTCTGCAGTCTAGTGAGGCCCATTGGCCTTAGGATGTCTGAAAACAGTCGTAGGTGCACCATAGGATCCCCAGATCCGTCAAAACGATCGATTTGTGGCATTTTAAACCGGTCAGGCAGTGTCACGGCCGCGTCAGTGTATCCGTCTTCAATGTCCGGAATGGACTCCACACCTTGAGATTTCTTAAACAGCTTTTCAAGCTTGCTCATTTTTAATGCCATGGGGTCCACCTCAGACTCGAAGGGAGAATCCGATTGATTGATAGGAGTGGGTGCTTTGGATAGTTGAGGCGGGATCGGGGGCGGAGCTGGCCCCGTTGGAAGGTCGGTATCCTCTTGGACATTCCGGGCATTTGGCGTCTCTTCGGGTATCGGAACCCTTAGTGGGGGAGGGACTTGCTGTGAAGCTGACACCCCAGTTTGCTGCTGCAATCTCACGATTAAATCCTCTTGTTCACTCATAACTGTGGCTTGCTATTTGGCGAACTCTGCCTGCCGAACAGCATCTTGCTGCATCATTTTCATGCTCTCTTGGAGTTGGCGCACCATCTCCTCTAAGCTAGACATACTATTCAGCTCTGGTTGAATTACTGGTATATGTTCCCTTTTTGTAGGTGAAATAGGACCCTGATCCCTACTGAACTCAGGTGGGGTAGATAAGGCCCTCTGAACTGACTGTTGAACTGATGTCCTCTGCCTAGCTGTCCTCCGTCTAGTAACCGGGGGTAGGGAGCGGTACACTGGTTGTCCGTCTATCAGATCCTCAGATCGATGGAGCCGACGACCTCTAATCCAGAGTGCTTGGGGAATATCTACCGGGTTGGAAGCAATGGTGCTAAACTACCTAGCAAAAAGATAAATAAAGTAGTAAATAAACAAACAATCGAACGACACAACGGCATAAAATAAACACAAACAACGCGCAGTTGGGCATTCACAATACATAGTGGGTAAACCGAACACAGTGTCCCCCGATACTGATCACTGTTCCCCAGAAATCACTGTCCCCAAAATCGAGCCTGATACCCGCAGATAACTGATTCTCATAAACCGGTACTGATGCCCTCAGGTCTAATACTCAATCTTGCGAACTGATATGTACGTTCTTGTAGAGATACACTCTAAAAGCACATAGCAAGTAAAGAGAGACAAAACACCCCTATGTTGG